GGTGGGATGGGTGGGAAGGTGAGATCAATAGACCGAAGCGGCTGCCAGAGGCGTCTGATATGCTGACGTCTGTTCTCAACCTTACACTGCACCCGTAATTTAGCCTCTGGGCTGCAAGTGGTCAGATATAGACTATATACATATTCATGACAATGGCACTGACAGAGAGTGACAAATTGATTACAATCATTTCTTTAAGTTTATGGAGTAAAATGTGTGTGATATATTTGAGAAGAAATTTAATAGCAGTTGTTTTTTATTGTTTTTTTGTTTTTGTTTACAGGAACAATAGGGCCATCCAAGCAGGAGAGTCGCCATTTTCAGTAGTCAAAGATTCAATAGTGTTTACAGATTCCTCTTTTGATGTTGATATACTAAACAAGAAATCAAATGTATTACTCAGTCTAAAGCTTCAAACATTAGAAAAAAATACTGTTAGATTTAGAATTAATGAAAAGAACCCAATTAGACCAAGATATGAAGTCAAAGATGTCTTGATTAAAGAACCAAAGACTATTAGGTAAGGATATGACTTAACCTTCTTGTAGTATAAACTTCAAGTCTTTTAGCAAGTGTTGTTGTCGTCTATGTTTTTGTGCATGCATTTTCTCAACATCTCATTTGCTAGCTGAGCTTTAAAGATACAGCTGTATGCACAATTGTTTTAACCCAAACCAGTTAATTACATTTATCCACCATGACTGTAAATTTCTTTTTCTCCAGACACATTGATTAGCACTTGATCAAAGTCATCTAAATTTACATCTAGATGACTTTGATATAAATTATTTTGTTGGCATGACATTAGCAGATGTTGTTTTAGAGAAGATATTTCAAAATTTTGTACTGTGGATGAAGCACTTGAAAAGATTTCAGAGAAAGATTTGGCAATTAACTAAGGTACAGTCCCCACAAACAAAAATAAAAATGAAAGAGAAAAGTTTTCTTTGGTAAAAATTAATTAGTAGTCAATAGCTTAAAAACATTTCTCCTGCCAATGACTTTTTGAGCAGCACATATTTTCAAGAAATAAAATTGTGGCAGATCTTGAAAGAAATTCTGCACAGTACTCCAATTTTTTTTTTTTCTGTTAGCATGGTAATTATTCATTCCTCTGACTTATGCTCCAATGCTTTATTCCTCTATTTTTTGGTTTCTTTTTCTTTGTTTGTTTGTATTCTCTTCTCTCAGCAGAGATCTGAAAGAAACAAATCTGAGATTTTATATGAGTTTCGGCCTCTGTTTGTTCTTATCATTACCTGCTGTCATTGCTCTTTTTCAGTAACCAAAAACTCAAACAGGATGATGAGAGTGTCCACATTGGATTTAATAACAACAGTGTTGTTTTAACATACAAACCTTTTCGCCTGGATTTTTTGGTTGATAATGAAGTGGCAGTGTCTGTGAATTCAAGAGGGCTGATGAACTTTGAGCATTATAGGGAGAAACAGTAAGCTGCAATCAATCTAACCCTGTCACTCACATGATCTTATTCAATTTAGCAATTCTCCTTACCGCCTGCCATACAATTCTTGTGGTGTTCCTTTGGAGAATTTTTAATGGGATCAACTAATAATCCCTTAGTTGATATTTTCCTTTATTCTCATCACTTGTCTGCTGGACATTGGTTTGTTATTGGAAGGAGAAATTCTGTCTTGATCACTCATGAAAGTTAAAGGGTTAAACTTGATATTGATGCTTTTCATGTCAAGGGTTTTCACTAAATGAAGGTTCCACTCCTGTTATGTACAATATAAAAGGTGTAATGTCTTTGCATCATCTCCCTCTGTATCCTAACTAGGAAAATTCCTGTCAAGGTTGAAGATGAAGATGAAGAAGGTCACCCACCTGGAGAAAATGAGGAAGAAAAGTCAGATGATCAGTCAGAGTCGGTACGAGAAATTCAAGTTAGAACCATTTACATCCTAAAAATTAGTATACACGTCCTCCATACTGTTCTTTATACATTTTCTTAGGTATTGACAAGGAGAATTAAGAATTGTTTAACAATCAGTAGCTTCTTTAGTTGGTGATTGTTTCCTTCGTTCTTGTGACCCTTACAGTGTGTGTTATTTGGGGGTGATATTTGTTTTTTTAGGAAGAAAATGCTGAGAAAAAAGAAGAAGAAGAGGAAAGAGTGGAAGAGGAGAACTGGGAAGAAAACTTTAAAGAGCATCATGATTCAAGACCACGAGGTAATTCAACATTAGTTCTGTCTATGCAGTAAGTAATCCCATTTGCAAGAGTGATCATGAGGGCCGGCTGGCCCCTAACTCAACTTTCTGTGGCATGGAATGAACTAGGAGTATTTCTAATCCCCTCTGGATGGGATTTACTGTAGGTTTACCCCCTGCATTAAATTCAGCAGTACCCATTTCAACACCTGGGGGAAGAGAGGCACTGTTAGAGTAAAGTGTCCTGCCTTAGAACAAAACATGATGTCTCTGGCCAGGGCTTGAACCTGGACCACTCGATCCCAAGTCAAGCGGACGCATTTATAATTATGAAGAATTTGGTAATTATTTGCCTGTTGCCTTATTTTTGATCCAATGTGAAACTTTTGCAGAGAAATGTCATACATGTAAGTTTGTTGCCATGTTGTTTACTGTACCTTTTCAATTTTCATTCTCGTAGGTCCTTGTTCTGTTGGTTTGGACATTTCATTCCCTGGTGTTGAACATGTGTATGGAATCCCGGAACATGCAGACACTTTAGCTCTTAAGACAACTGTGTAAGTTCTGCTGTAGAGGGTTTATACAGTAGAACCATGCTTTACTCCTGGTATCACAATGTTTGACTGGATGGGCCAGTGATAAAAGTGAAATTTGATTCTAGTTAATAGCTTCTCAGCTGTAGTTAAAGAAGGATTTGGGTATTTACTTGTACCTTAGTTTTAAGAAATGTTATTTACTTGTTTATGGACCTCAGTGTTTACCTGCAGGGGTGATAAATGGTGAAGTCCTGTACTCATCAAGATACTAGGATACCTGTATGAAAATTTTAGGAGACTCAAGGGAAATTTTTTTTTTACAAAACTCCTTTTTATGTATTACCAATGCAGCTGTCAGAAGTGAAGTCAAGAGAAAGGAGATGTCAAGACTTAACTGTCACTAAGGCTGACACAACTTTGAAATTGAACAAATAGTTTACTATCTAGACCTACCATTCGCCAGTCCATATACACAGTGGCAGATCCAAGGGAGGGGCACCAGGGGCATTCCCCCCTTATTTTGGGTAAAAAAAAATAACTACAGAGGGAAGAAAAGCCGGTATGTGAACACACCCAAACAAAAACGGCCCCCCTTGGCTCATGGTCTGGATCTACCACTGTTACCTGTAGTCAGGCATATAGGTACTTGAATATGTTTAATTACTGGATTTTCATTTTTTCAGTGGTTCAGAGCCATACCGTTTGTACAACTTGGATGTATTTGAGTATGAGCTGGACTCCAGAATGGCTCTTTATGGAAGCATTCCTGTCATGATCGCTCATAGGTAAGTAAACACAGAGTTTCTCACTTTTTACTAAAACTTACCGGTACACATGTACATGTAGTTGACAATTAGGAAAAATGATGGAAAAAAGTTGTTGGATTCCATTACACTCTGACTCCTGAACTTTCAGTGTTGCACGGACAGTTGGTGTGTTCTGGATGAATGCAGCTGAAACATGGGTGGACATCAGTTCATCCAGTGCTAGAAAGGTACGTGAATGTTTTCTTTAATCAGATTTTGTCCTCATCACCTTTTAACTCCTAAGATATGATTGTAAGTTTTCCTGTCTAGCTACTACATATTTCCTTGTAAATTAGTTAAGAGAATTTTTGTTAGATCTACCTACATATACATGACAACTTGTACATGTACCAATTTCTAAAGATCTCAAAGAATTCTTCTTACTGTTCACTATACAATTCTTATGAAGCTACTTCTAAGAATTTGGTATTTGGTCAACTAATAATCCCTAAATTGCTATTTTTTGATATTCTCCCCACTTATTTATCTGCTACTTATATTGTAAGTGTTAAGAAGACGTTAATGAACTTGTGCGCATGCTTTGGGACTATGTAGGCTAATAATATCATAAGCAAATCACGCGGACCTTTTAATTTTGACGTGTGCAATTTTTTAGAAGGAGTTGAAAAGTTTTTAGTTTATCGAGTAGCAGTTTAGTTTAATGGTCGTTGTCGTTTACCGTGAGTCTACAGTTTACCGTGTTGGAATTAAAGTGTTTGTTTGGATTTCCCGTTTCGCTTCTAAACAGTAAGCTTGGGAGATATTCTGTCTTGGCAACTTGTGGGAGCTAAGGAATAAATTTATTTATTAGACGCTTTGTTGTATAGTATAGCTGAGCATCAAAATGCAAACAACGAGTAAAAATACTATATCTTATTATCCAAGAGCGAGGGCTGTACTGGGAGAATATCGGCCCGAGGTCTTGACAGTACAGACCGAGAGCAGCAGGGTCCGTACAGAAGAGACCGAGGGCCGATATTCTTCCAGTATGGTTTCGAGCAAGCTTGGTTAATAAGATCTAGAGATTTATTATACGACTGAAGTTCAAAGGGACACAAGTGCGGTATCATTCAGGACCATTCGGGACAGTGCCCAGTCTAATACTGAGAGAATATTGACCGGCAATAGAGCATTTTGATTGGTTGATTTTAGTTATTGGCCCTCTGACTGCCCGAGTCGTGTAATAATCATTGATACTATACAACAAAATGTCTAATAAGAGATTTATCATCCAACATGCCAAATTGTTATTTCAGTGGGGGCGAATCTCATGGATATTTCTGGAGTATAAATATTGTGTGATATTTGTACTCGTTTATGAAGTTATTTGTACTCTACAGAGTGTAGTTGAATGATAAGTATGAGCATTCTCAGTACTTTATTGTTAGATAATGCATGGATGTTACAGAGAAAAGCTACATGTAAATTACCTCCAGGAGTCAAAGGGTTGGATTAAAAGCAGAGAATATTACGTAGGAGTCAAGAGCACCAAATCAATTCTTAACAATAACATGTAACAAAATACATTTTGATTTTAAATAAATTTTTCACATTTTTAAAAATGATTTTTGTGCAATTGAAATCATTCAACAAGATAACATGTTAATCATTCAATATTTCTCTTCACTAAACACACTGAATCATGGAGAACTTGTTTTATTAAACAACTGCAGAATATTAATGATGTTGAAGTTTAATCTCTAATTCAATACTTCTATTAAGTGGCATTTACAAGGTTAATATTTCATAAGCTCTGCAGGATAAAAACATTATACAGAGTAGTGTAAGTAAGTGATAACTCATGGTGATATTTAGCATGGGATTAGCCCGCTTCAGGTTTGCTACTTTTCATCTTGAGAGATTTACATGTTGCTAAATAAATGCAGGTGATACATATTTTAGTAAGTAAGCTGGTTATGTCAAATGCTCTAACAATGAACCATTTGGAAATCCCTTAAAATTTGCAATGTTGAAACTCCTTCGTACATTAAGTTTCATCTAAAAACCAAAAGAGAAAACTTTGAATTAAAATGTTGATATTTTGATGAACAATCATTTCAGTTACTATGATAATTTGATGTTTTAATAGTATTCACACCTTAGATTTTCTTAAAATGAAGCCCACATAACATGACGCGAATCCTACATCCAATAAATTGTTTCTTTGAATGGAGCACTGGACACAACTGAGCATTAGTCAGCCTAAAGTTGACTAAACCAAAAAGGCTTAGCCTGCCCTTGTGTTCCACTGTTCTTTTGTTTTGCAGTCCATGTTAAACTCACTGATGTCATTTTTCAAGGGAAGTGAAGAGGTCCCTCAGGTTGACACCCACTGGATTTCAGAGAGTGGCATCATTGACGTGTTTGTCATGCTGGGTCCAAAACCTCATGAACTGTTCCAAGAGTATGCTGCATTCACTGGCACTACAGCCCTGCCACCGGTAAGTTTGGCTTCTTTATTTTATCTGAGTCTGTGGGCCTGATTACATGAGCCGGGCTGGCCCGGTTGGCCAGGCTGATTTCGTTTGTTTTGGTGTTCGCCAAAGCGTGAAAACAAAAGAAATCAGCCCGGCTCATGTAATCAGGCCCTGTCTCAGTTTTCACAGTTCTCACAGCTGATTTCATATATTTCTTTCCTTTTTTTTTTTTTGAGAGCTCACTGTGAATTAGATTTTGCAAACTGAGCCCTGTTGCACAGTTTAAGTCTCGTCTTTAAGTTTAGGTCTGTGCAAGTAATTTAACAGCACAGAAGTTGGATCGAGTTTATCCCTGTTTTTGAAGCATGTTGGATTTTTTCTTATTACGTTAAATTGTTTCATCTTTACATGCTCACTTTGGAGGTTGGTTGGCTGCATCTTGAGATGCTCTAGTGTGACAGTGTGATGCTGTTAGTGAGTTTTACATGCGCTGATCAAAACTTGGCTTTGAAGCATGAAGTGATATAAAATAGTTTTTTTTGGAAGGCAGTCTTTGGAACCACCCTTCTACAAATGATTTAGCAGTTAGATCTTACCTTTCGAATCTTACATCTTTGATGATCTTTTGTTATAGTTGTTTGGGATAGCTTATCATCAGAGTCGATGGAATTACAATGATGAAGATGAGGTGAAAAAGTATGTTGCACTTGAGTGGCTTTGTTGTCTTCATATACTAAATTTTTTTGTATTATGTTCACTGCCTTAATGAGCCACTAAAGTGAGGTAGATTCTGTTATATGATTGGCTACTTGGATGGGCAAGACAACGGGCTTGTCTTGTTCCTTGGGATTGCCCTCTCCTCTTACCTTGTGAAAGACAGAAAATTTCCTAAAGCTTTAACTTCTGGCTAACAGACTACTTACCAATTTTTACATCAGCAAAAGCTCAATGTATGTCTTGAAGACAGGTCAAGCAAAAGCAACCAAAACAATTTCGAGAAGAAACTGTAGCAAAGTGAATTTCTTTGGTCAAGGTTTGTTCAGGCCGTGGAAAAATTGAAAGGCACCTAGTTCTGCAGTATCATTTCCAAGTCTGGAAAGTCCTGGAAATTAAGTTTGGGTGATGGAAAGTCACAGAAAATATTAAATGAAAGCTATATCTTTGTAATGAATATAAAAAAAAAAGGTTGTATCTAATAGGAAGCAACACTCTTTGATCTGTAATAA